ATAGATTCCACAAGACAGAGTCTAGACAGCAATGAGTGACTGCTGGTGATTGGAACACCAGCCTGGCATGCTATTCCTAAGATAAACCGAACATTTTTAAAACTTGACTTATCCAAGAAAAAATGCTTTTTTTTACCCTTACCTTCAAAACATTGTGCCACTAGTAAAGTATTTTACAGTAGAAGAGCAATGTTTGATTGTGTTCTAATAAAAGAGGATAATAACAGGGAAATATAGTTCTGACATTAATTTCCATGGAAATTTAAGTAATAATTGACACTTTTATATTCCTACTTACTTTTTTATTATAATGCTGGTGCATTTTTCTTTCTGAGAAAGAAAAAAGCCATTCTCAGTCTGGTTCTTTTTTAGCCCAATTGTACTATTTGATTCTTTCCAGTAAATCTTTACTTAATGAACAAATCAGCTTGATTCCCTAATTCCTCTAAACTTTTTACGATGAACATGTAATGGCATTGCCAAGGGATGTGCTGCAAAGTGTTGTTGCTCAGAGTGAAGGTGATACAAGTCCGCTGTTAATTTTAATTTGTCTTTAAATTTTGTAAAACTACTAGTTGTCCTACAAATGGCTACACTAAGTAAATATGTTGTGAATATGCAGTTACACTAACGAGTAATGTGATGTTTAGTGTGGTTATTTATGCTGTTTGCTTGGTGATAAAAAAAACATTACACATCCTTGAATTCCAATTTCTGCCTATACATTTAGATTTGTTACAAAGTTGGTGCAAACCTAAAGTGTTGTATGGTTTATCCAGAAGTGTACCTAGGTTTTTGGCATATGGGGCAGAATTGTAGCCATTTATTTTTTTATATTAGATTTGGGTGCTCCATACTCCCTCCTATGTTTCTATGCAACCCTTTATCTTCTTGTGTATTTCTTCTTACCCAAATTAACCCCTTGTGTTTCTCCTTATATCAGTTATCCCTTTGTGTGTCGGTTTACCACTTTATGTGCCTCTGGTTATTATTATTATGAAATCTATAGAGTGCCGTCAAATTCCAAAGCGCTTTACAATGGGTGGACGAACAGACATGTAGTTGTAACCAGACAAGTTGGACACACAGGAACAGAGGGGTTGAGGGCCTTGCTCAATGAGCTTACATGCTAGAGGGAATGGTGTAAAATGACACAAAAAGGTAAGGATAGTATTAGACTAGTGACAGCTGCAGAAGAGGAATCAGTCAGGAGCTATTAACAGTTTAATTGATATGCTTTTATGAAGAAGTGGGTTTTTAACGATTTTTGGAAGAAGTGGAGACTGGGTGAGCATCTAACGGAGGAGGGAAACGAGTTCCACAGGAAAGGTGCAGCCCTCGAGAAAACTTGAAGGCGAGCATCAGAGGTGGGAGTACGGACAGAAGATAGACGTAAGTCTTCATCAGATCGTAAGGGCCTAGACGGGACATACTTGTGTATAAGGGAGGATAGATAGGTGAGAGCAGCATTATGTAGAGATTTGAAAGCAAGAACCAGAATTTTAAATTGAGCTCTTTATTTTATAGGAAGTCAATGCAGGGACTGACAGAAGGGTGAGGTTTCGGAGGTGCGGGCGGACAGGAAGATGTGCCTCGCATTTATTATGGACTGTAATGGCGCGAGTTGGGAGCACGTAAGACCACTGAGAAGCGGATTACAGTAGTCAAGGCGATAAAGAACAGTGGAATGGACCAACACCTTAGTCGCATCTGACGTTAAGTAGGGGCGGATGCGCGCAATGTTTTTGAGATGGAAATGACAGGATTTTTGCGATAGATTGAACATGAGGCTTGAAGGAGAGGTCGGAGAACACCTAGGCAGTCAAAGAGAACACCTTATTGTTCCTGTCATAAACCCTCTTACACCTTTATGTGGGGGCTGTGGATTAATTAAGGTGGGTGTGGATTAATTAAATGGGGGTGCGGATTAAAGAATTAAAGGGTGAGGTTTAATTAAAGGGGTGTGTGGATTAATTAAAGTTTAATTAAGGGGGGGTGCAGGTTTTTTTTTAATTAAGGGGGTTGCAGTATTTTATTTATTAAGGGAGGATGCAGTGGCGGATCCAGGGGGGGGGGCAACGGGGCAATTGCCCCCCCCGAGAAATCCGCCGGTCTCCCTCCCCTGCCAGCCCTGCAATGTGCCTGCGGACCGGGGAGGAAGATCAGAGATCTCCCTCCCCGGTCCGCAGGCACCGTGCTGACAGCCGGCAGGGGAGGGAGAGGGAGTGAGAGGGAGGAGAGAGGACCCGGGAGCTCTGCCTGCAGCTCCTCCGGGTCCTCTTCTCGTGAGATTTGGAGCGTTGCCGCAATTACCGCGGCAACGCTCCAAATCTCGCGAGAGTGAACTCTAGCCCGAGCGCGGGCTAGAGCTCACTCTCCCCACTGGGACCACCAGGGAATCACCACTGGGACCACCAGGGATCGAAATATGTTCCCCCTCCTCCCCAGTAAAGGTAAGAAGGGTGGGGGGACATAGGATATTTATTTTAATTAAATTAAAAAAAAATATATTATTAAAAAAAAGCCACACACACATACATTGCCCCCAATACTGCCCCCCCCATTCACACAAACTGCCCCTATACACACACACTGCCCCCCCATTCACACAAACTGCCCCCAATACACACAAACTGCCCCCCCATTCACACAAACTGCCCCCAATACACACAAACTGCCCCTATACACACAAACTGCCCCAATACACACAAACTGCCCCTATACACAAACTGCCCCCAATACACACAAACTGCCCCTATACACACAAACTGCCCCCATAAACTGCCCCCAATACACGCAACCGCCCCCCATTCACACAAACAGCCCCTATACACACATACTGCCCCCTATACACACACACTGCCCCCATACACACACACTGCCCCCACACACACTGCCCCTCACATACACACACACTGCCCCCCATACACACACATACTGGCCCCCATACACACACATACTGCCCCCCATACACACACATACTGCCCCCATAAACACATACTGCCCCCCATACACACACACATACTGCCCCCATACACACACATACCCCCATACACACACACTGCCCCCACATACACACACTGCCCCCACATACACACACTGCCCCCATACACACATACTGCCCCCATACACACACACTGCAATACACACACACTGCAACTGTTACACACACATACTGTCCCACACATACACTGCATCCCTGACATACACTGCCGCCCTCACTCACACACTACAACCTTCACACACACACTGCACCCCTTACACATTGCACCACTCACACACACCACTGCTCCTATGCCCTACTACAGCCCCATTTCCCAGCAGATCTCAGGTAAGTTGTCAAACTGTTCTTAAACGGTTTGACTACTTACTGTGGGAGGGGGTCCCGGCACTATTGACACCATAACCACTACACTGAGCTGTAGTGGTTATTGTGTCTGGATTATTTCTTTAAATAATCTACAAGTGCCCCTCCCGAGATCAGGCTCTGGATCCGCCACTGGGAGGATGTGCACTGCAGATTTTTGTTTTTGTTAAGGGGTGTGCAGGGTTTTTATTAAGGGGGTGTGCTGGTTTTTTGTTATTAAGGGGGGTTGTGCAAGTTTTTGTTTTTTTATTAAGGGTGTGTGCAGGGTTTTTTATTAAGGGGGTTGTACATGTTTTTTTTTTATTAAGGGTGTTGTGCATGGTTTCTGTTTTTTATTAGGGGGTGTGCAGTATTTTTGTTTTTTTTAATTAAGTGGATGTGCAAGGTTTTTATGTGTAGGGAGTGTATAAAATGTATGTGATCAGTGTGCAGGGTTTTTATATGAAGGGCGAAGGGCAGGGGTTTTCTAGAAGGGGCGAGACAAGGGTCTTTGTAGAAAGGGGCATGGCAGGAGTTTTCTAGAAGTTTCTCACCAGCCCCTTTCTACAAAAGCATTGGTCTTCCCCCTTCTACAAAACTGGTGCATTTATACAAAACCTCTGCCCTGGCCCCCTTCTACAAAACGTCTGCCCTAGCCGCTACATCTTTTGAACCCAAAACACTGTTTCTCTTCCTAGAAATGTGTTTAACCCCTTAAAGGATCAGCTCAATGAAGTGGTCTGGGTGCCAGATCCCTCTAGTTTTAACCCTGCAGCTGAAAACATAGCATAGAGATGTTTCACTGAGGGTTAATTCAGCCTCTAGTGGCTGTCTCACTGACAGCCGCTAGAGGCGCTTCCGCAATTCTCACTGAAAACTCACTGTGAGAAGACACTGGACATCCATAGGAAAGCATTGAGTAATGCTTTCCTAAGGGCAGTTTGAATGCGCACGCGGCTCTTGCTGCGCATGCGCATTCAGATCTGACGTCGGCAGGGGGAGGAGAGGTCACCAGCGCCGAGGGAGCCCGACGCTGGACAAAGGTAAGTGGCTGAATGAGTTTAAAGGGGTTAAAACCCCTTCAGCCACTTACCTTAATCCAGTCCTGGGCTCCCTCGGCGCTGGTGACCTCTCCTCCCCAGCCGACGTCAGCTCCCGAGTGGAACCGAAGGCAAGAGCCGCGCGCCCATTCAAACAGTCCATAGGAAAGCATTTCTCAATGCTTTCCTATGGACGTTCTGCAAGCTGGATGCGATTTTTGCATCTGGAGGGTTAAAATCTGGGGGACCTGGCACCCAGACCACTTCATTGAGCTGCAGTGGTCTGGGTGACTATAGTGTCCCTTTAAATACCCTGGGTTGTCTACTTTTACAAAAGGTATGCCAAGATAGAAAAGAGGTTGGAGGTTGGAAGATAAGACAGATATCGCACTAGCGAACCCTCGAGCCAAAATAAATTTAGGATTTTTCTGCAGAAAACACCAATATGAAGCGAAATCGACCAAGCGGGTCTCAGCAACGAAAAATTAAGAAGGCAAGAGAAAAGTCAGCTGAGGCGATGTCTGGATAAATATTAAAATATGTTGCACCTTCAACATCTACCGCAGTAAGAGAAAGTGCTGAAAGACGTTCAGTCTGTTGAATCCAGAGGTGAAATGCCTGAAGTATCTTCTCAAGAAGCTTCATATGTGAAAGCGCAAGAATTGGAGAAGATCATTTTATCTTCAAGCGGTGAAAGTGATGTAGATGAAGGAGATGTCAGCAGAAGCCTGCATCAGCAAGACTCTGATGATGATGATGATGAAGAAGAAGAGGAGACTGTTCGACTGTCAGTTTATTCTGATGTTGCTGCTTGGCCAGTTCCAGTTCCAGATGTTTTAAGAGTGGACCTTATTAAGAGGGGAAGTGAACCTTTCCAAAATAGAGATGGGCCATTCAGTCTTGTTGAAAGGCAAGGAGAGAAATCAAAAGGGAAGAATCGACAGCTGACCACTGCATGGTTCTATAAGGCTCTGTCTAATGGCGAAAAAAATTCTTAGAACGTGGATGGTGTACTCTCCATCAAAACAAAGTTTGTTTTGTTTTTGCTGCAGACTTTTTGCTGTTGATGACAAAGTAACAGGGGCATCCAGTTTGGTACTGGGTTTCAATTGTGGTGGAAGCTGAACCCAAAGGTGTCTGATCATGAGGCTTCTGAGCAACATTTTACATGCTTGGAAAAATGGAAAACCTTGAGGGCAGGATTGAAGCTACAAAAATGCCTTGATCATGTCCATCAAACAACAGTGGACAGAGAGAAAAGGAAATGGAGGGATATTTTGCATCACCTTTTGGATGTAACTTTGTTTCTGGCTCACCAGAATCTTCCCTTTCGTGGTCATAGAGAGACCACGTCATCTGCAAACAAAGGCAACTTCCTCGAATTGGCAGAATTGCTCTCAAACTATGATCCCATTTTAAAGGAACATTTCATGAGGCTGAAACATGCTGTTGCATCTGGAAAGAGAATGACTTCCTATTTCTCTCCAAAAATTCAGAACGAATTATTTTGTCTTTTGGGAAATCATGTGAAGGACAAAATAGTGGCTGATATCAAGAAAGCAAAGTACTTTGGGATTCTTTTTGACAGCACCCCTGATGTGTCCCACACTGATCAGATGAGTGAATTGATCAGATATGTTCATATCGAAGGGGACCATGTTGAAGTAAAGGAATCATTCTTGGGCTTCTTTCCTGTTGCTGAAAAGACTGCTGCTGAGCTCACAGAAAATATCCTGCAACATCTGGAGGAAGATGGACTAGACATAAGCCTTTGCCGTGGTCAAGGATATGATAATGCTGCAACTATGGCAGGGATTCATGGTGGTGTTCAGGCAAAAATAAAATAGATTAATCCCAAGGTTTTGTTTATGCCATGTGCAAACCATTCCCTGAACCTATGTGGGGTGCACTCATTTGGAAGTGTTGCTTCGTGTGTGACATTTTTTGGAACATTGGAGAGAGTGTATTCCTTTTTTTCAGTTTCTACACATCGTTGGGAATTGCTGATGGAAAATTTAGGTGGGACAGTGAAAATACTTTCCCAAACAAGATGGAGCGCTCATTATGATGCTGTGAAGCCAGTGAGGGCAAATTTTGAAAAAACTGACTTCAGCCCTTGAAACATTGTGTAATCCCAAAGAAAATGTGGGCACAAGAGGATCGGCTCAGATGGTGCTGTCTGCCGTATGTGATTTTTCATTTTTGTGTTACCTTTCTTTCTGGTGTGAAGTTCTAGAAGAAGTTAATATCACACAGAAATATTTGCAAACTGTGGGACTCACTCTTGAAAAGTGCATTGTAAAACTACAAGGTTTGAAAGCGTTTCTAGCAGATCAGCACAGTAAAATTGTGGAGAAGGCCATTTGTTACGCAACTACTACGTGTAAAGAAATGGACATTTCAATGGAAAGAAGAGGGAGAGTAAAGCTCCGTAAAACAATGCCAGGAGAGAAGGCAAAGGACACTGTTCTCACATTGCCAGAGGAAATGAAAAGGGCTATGTTTGAGTGCCTTGATCGTTTTCATCACGAGTTGGAAATTCGTTCCCAGGCAATTGAAAAAATCCTTTCAATGTTTGCTGTTATTCAGCCAAACTCTCTGGTTGTGGCAACAGAGAAAGATATTCATAATTATGCTCCAAAATTGACTGAGATTTTTGACAAATTCTCTAATGAAGAAATCTTTAGGGAAATTGAACGTCTTCGGAGGCATTTGGAAGCTGTCAAGATCAGTGTTGAAGAAGCAAAGAAATGGACGGCATTGCAGTTCCTGGAGTTCATTGTTAAATGGGATTATTGTGAATCTCTGCCAAATTTGTCACTGTGTTTAAGATTCTTTTTGACTCTCTGAGTGTCTATTGCTTCATGTGAAAGAAGTTTTTCCAAATTAAAATTGATAAAAAAAATTCTTTCGCTCAACCATGAGTGAGACAAGGTTGACAAATCTGGCTATACTTGCAATTGAGCATGAATATGCAAGGAAGATTGGCTTTGATGAAGTAATCGATAAATTTGCATAAATGAAGGCTTGAATGCAGCAGATGTGAATCATTGCACATTACCTCTGCCAAATAGACTGACTGGTCACTTTGGATCTGTGTGTTTTTTTGTTTATAGAAAGCGTATTAACTGTTAAGTAAATGTTAATTATTTTAATTTTATTTATTTCTAAGTTAATTTATTTTTCATAGTTCCATTTTTTTCAAGTTGATATACAGTGTCCAAATTTGTGAAATAAATATTATTGAAAACATTGAAAAAATTGTGGGTGTTTTCTTACATTTTTATTATGTCTGTTAGACTCAGAAAAACAAGCAGTCTGCTGACATCATCAGAAGTGGTGGCCTGATCCAATCACAATGTGTCCCCCTTAGGATTGTCTGAGACTGACAAAGAGGCAGATCAGGGGCAGAGCCAGCATGATTCAAACACAGCCCTGGCCAATCAGCATCTCTATGAGAAAAGTTCAGTGTCTGCAGGCAGATGGAGGAGATACTGAATGTTTGGATGCATTTTAGGCAGCCATGACCCAGGAAGGATCTCTAACAGCCATCTGAGGAGTGGCCAGTGAAGTTATCACTAGGCTGTAATGTAAGCACTGCCTTTTTCTCTGAAAATACAGTGTTTACAGCAAAAAGCCTGAAGGTAATGATTCTACTCACCAGAACAAATTCAATAAGCTGTAGTTGTTCTGGTGACTATAGTGTCCCTTTAATTTGACCAAGAGGTCTGGATTTCTGTCTGGATGTATGACACACAGATATGGCTGGAAAATTCAAGCAACACTAAAAAACAAGGCAACATAACCCCCTCATGCCTTACAGCCATTCAGTTCTAGATGACCATGAATCTGCTTTAACAGATAACGCTAAGTTAATGATGGCACCACTTATAAACAAACATCAAACCTCCAACCTCTAATGAGAATTCAATATGTAATATATTGTCATTCAAATATGTGTCATTTTCTTAGAAAAACAAATTATGCCTGTTACCTGGGGGTCATCATTATTCTAGAAAGTATATAGCACAAAAAGGGATTATAGCTCACCAAGTTTAGTCATGATATCCTGATATGGTGAACGCTTATCAGGAAAGATCACTTAATATAAAATTCCTGGCGCTAACTGTTGCTTAATAATTATAGCTTTAACTAATAGTGAGCAACATATTTCAGTCTATTATAGCAATAAAGCTGTATTGCAGCAATATTAGAAGAGTAAGAAAAAATACCTGCTGACTCGCTGCCGGCTGTCAGTCTGCATAAGTTAATTTGACAATATTGAGTCAACTTGAAATATGGGACACGTAAGTGCTCTGCTCACTTTCTATATTATCAATGTTTGATGGGAAAACCTTTTCTAATCCATTCATTACACAGAAGCCTTTTTCTCAGAGGATTTTTCTATTTTTGTTCTTAGAGAAAGTGGTCCTTGTGTCACGAAACGTGTGGGGATCCTGATTACTGCTCTTACTGCTCTTTTATAAAGACCTTGTAATATTGAATATCTTTGCCATCGAATCAGAGATATAATAGATTTTGTTGTTTGACACAATAAGGACTCACTATAATCTAGGGTCTAGACAGCACATTTGAATTATGATTTTTCAACACAATACATAACTATCTTTACTAATAATCTGATATGTGCTCCTCTACTTTTGGTTTCAGTTATTTTATTTTATTTTGTAGTCATACCATATAATTTCCCATATAATTCATCAATATTGGCACTCATCTGTTATAAAACAACATTTAAATATGTAATCATATTGGTAGCCCATATTATATACTCACAGAGGATCATGGGAAATTTAATCGAGGCAATTAAATATTATAACAAATTAGATAATTTTCTTTACATTTCAGTAAGATAGACAGACAGACAGACTTACAATTAGACAGACAGCTAATTTACAATATAACAAAGCATACATGTAAATATAGACTGGTACAGGACTGAAAATCCCATATTTAAAGTAACTTTTGCATGTTTTGTGTATATATCATGCCCCATGCAGTCTCACTGCTCAGTTCTCTTCCATTTACAAGTTAAATTACTTTGTTTATCCAGTCCAAGTCAGCCTCCCTGCATATGACTTACAAAGCCTTCCTGAACACTTCCTGTAAATAGTCTTCTAATGTTTACACCTCCCGTATTACAAATTCTGTTTAATTTAGATTTTCTTATCACCTTCTCGGTTAATAGCTTGGTAGACCCTGCCAGAGCCTCCTGTATGTAATTAAAGTTCAATTTGCAGAGCAGGAGATAAAAACTTTTAAAGTATGTTACATCTGATTGAAAATACAATATTTTTTTTTCATGCAGGCTGTGACAGTCACAACCAGGGGCGGTATGGCTAGGGTTGCATAAACAGAAACAAAGTGATTTAACTCCTAAATGGCAGTGAATTGAGCAATGACACAGCCAAAATAACCTTTTAATCTCTGACACTCATATATATATAAAAAAGGAGAAAAACAAAACAAAACTATTTTAAGTAACTATTGATGATGTATTAATGGTTAGAATTACACGGATGTTTTTTTTTTCTAACAGCCCTTGAAACGTGTTTAAATGACACTGAGTGTAAATAATTCCTAAAAAGAATGAATTGGTTGGTGTAGTTTGTTTTATATGTAGCAGCTGCACAATAGGGAAAGATGATGAACAAATTACACCTTGTCAAATGTTCCTGCTCTCAACAAAGCCAGCGTTTGAAGCTGGTGTTCTCAGTGACGGCTGATTCATGTTATACCAACTCCCTCTTCTGGTCTTCTGTAGTTTTTCATTCACTTTATGGCTACATTGAAATTGTTTCAAGTCCATTGTATAGCGAAACACATTATTCATCTGCCATAAAATCCCAAAAGCTTCAAAAATACATTGAATACACTCTATTATATGTGTTTGAATGTGTTGTATGTATTTGTTTTCAAATTTGTCACTTAATTTGGAATATATTAACATTTACTGTTTTGGCACTGTATACCATGTAATACCATATAATATATACATAAAATGGCCCTACTGGACTGCATTGGTTACGGTGCTATTTAATCACTAGTTTAATAATAGGGTAACATTCCTACTATGACTGACACAAGTATATTTTGCTCCATACAACCTGGGATCTAGTTTCTACAGACTAATTTGTGTTGAACTGATGAGCAAGGTTTAGATAAAAATAACTGGCCATGATTAGTTATGTGCAGGGTAATTGCGACCGCTGGGCAAAATAGGCAGCTGCCTATGGGGGCTCAATGCTAGGGTGACCGGCACTCCTCTCATGTCGGTAAGGTGGCTTCTGTATCCTCTACCCGATCTAACAGGAAGTGCTCACTGAGAGCACAAAACAGCTTCCTTTCAGCCCGGATAGAGGATACTGGAGATCCTTCACTGTGGCTCGTGGCTTAACCATGCTACATGGAGGGGGGTTAGCTGGCACTGGGGGAGAGACCACAAATGGGAGGCGGGGGTTGAACAACGAGGCACACAGAGGGCAAAAGAGGTAGCATGATAACTCTACAGCTCTTCACAGATTTAACACTGATCATGGCTGTGTCAGAGTGATAGATGGATTCAACCGAGCTCATATATTGTGTCCCAGAGTTTACTTTATTGAATACCAAACTTGATTACCACCGTTTATTTTATACCACTCAATGTACACATTCACCATCTTCAGTTAAGTTCAGCATTAAATTATGTAGAAACCATACAAAGATTACATTCTCTCCTGGAATATGAGCAACATGGAGTGAGCAATTATTGAAACATGAACATGTAGCGGACATGTTTATACATGAGCAGGTTATAAGGAATATAATTCATAATTTAATTAGGCTGCTCACATTTAATTTTTTTTTTTTAATAACTGACATTAACAAATCAGATCTTTTAATCTTGATTCCGTGAATAACCCTGACATTCTCTTGTAATTGAAAGAAAGAAGTCTGGAAGCTACATACCATTGGACCATTTGATTTACGTTAGGCGAGGAGAGCATACACTCACCGTGAATCCTCTGCAATTACAATGAAGACATAGCCTCCCATTTACACCTCTTTCCAGTGCTCTCATCTGAGTATATTTTCATTACCGTGCATTAACTGGAATTATTATAGATGGTTTATGATAGTGTTTATGAGAATATATGGCATTTTTTTTAGATCCTTAAAATACACAGTTGCTTTCCTTTGTTGTTCTTAAATAACTTACATGCTACACATTGTTTATTTACTAAATTATGAACTATGGACACCAGAAAATCAAATTGCAAAATCTAGGCCAATATAGTCAAATTTGGAAAGTAACCAAATCAGGAGAAATGAAAACAAGTTGGAAAAAATACATTGTCACCATACACCATTTAGTGAATAAATGACTCACTATACAGCATTTACCCTTTGATTTACTAGTGTGCAAGAAACCCAGTGTAAGCAATAAAATGTTTTACAAGTGTTTTTTTACCCCATAAGATCCATAAGATTTAGTAATATGACATTATGAGCATACCTTGACACGTACAAGGTAACAGATTTCTCAGCATAAATCCTTCAAACGCAAAGCACAGTTAAATACGGCAGATATGCATGCTGAGTACAGACATTTTTTATGCACAGAATTGATGTTAGTCAGTTCGAAAAAGAACAGATAGTTTTTTTTTGTATAGACAGCGTTTCAAGGTGAAATGCTGCATATACAGATTGCTACCACCACGACCACTACTAAAAGCAGAAGTGGTCATGGTGGGTTGAGTAACCCTTTAAGCAGTAGTCATGTTGGTGCTTAGAGTGTCCCTTTAATGTATAGTATTTGGTATATTATCAGAAAATAAAGTAGCATT